CGGTATGCAGATTCCCTCCTTCCGCTACTTGCCGCCGCATCCCCATCCTTCCGCTTTTCACCGCACATAGCAGATATTACCACGGCGTATACTAACCTCCCACACGACAGGGTCCTTAATAGTGTGCTGAATGAATGCTGTTCACTAGGCACATGATTATGCCTTGCAGCTACTCCATGGGACAGTGGCCAGCACAAATGTACACATGACAGTGGGGCCTATTGTTGTGGCAGGTACTTCACATGGCTTTCACACTCTTTCATTGTCAGAGTAGAGCAGCATCTGCAGGTTGTGCTCTCTAACAATCTTACTGCCAGTGGGTGGCACCCTGGGCCATCAGTTGGTTGCCATCCCGATGGGCACTCACACTGGACAGGAAATTGCCAATCTTACGCTCTACTGGAACGAGGTGCAGTTCATCGCCGAGCTTCGTTGGCAGGATCTGCGCATTGTGCAAGAATATGCATTTGCCTTTTGGTTCAGTTATGATATCTGGACAGGAAATTGCCAGTCTTACGGTCTACTAGAACGAGGTGCAGTTCATCGACGAGCTTCATTGGCAGGATCTGCGCACAGTGCAAGAATATGCATTTGGCTCTTGGTTCAATTATGATATCTTGTCCTGGAAAAACTGACTGTTGCCTCCTGCTCGGTATCGTTCCAAGTGGAAAGACACTACGGAGCATGATGGTTCAGGTCTTCTTGGGTGACGGAATCTTGATTCGGCCAGATGACTTGCCTCCCATTGGTGTATCCTATACGGCTGAGGCCTGGAGACTTTGCTGTCCTATGCTATTCCAGTGCTTCTGCCGGGGCAATGCTGCCTACAGCTCATCAGCCTACAGATGTTTTCACAGGACAGCTGTCAAGCTTTGAGCATATCTGCAATAATACTCTCGACTCCAAAGCTGCGGTGACATACCTGAGACGGCTTGCTAGGGGTCATTCCCCCAGTGCCCTCCCTGGCCAGTGGATGAACTGCCTATGTGCATGGCTGGCAGGGTTGACTGCCCACTCATGTCACCCAGTTTATGAACTGGTTTCGCCTCATCATTGGTTGGTGACTGGCCCATCAACTGCCGACTGTACATTCTGAAGCACAGGCAGCATTGTCCACATGCTGCGGCCCCACCCTCTCCAGTTGCTACCAGGGGAGCAATGACAGCTGATGTGGTTGCTGCGGTCCCGGCAGAAACTCAGCCTGCCTTGGGAGACGACAACATTGAATCCTGTTGAAGTGGCTGCAGGGGACGAGTGCCAGCACTCTACGGATGTGCGATGATCTGACTCAATTCAGACTCTCTGCCGGGCACTCGTCCCCTGCAGCCACTCTTCGAGTTCAGGCGGATGACTCGCAGTCGTGCACGTCTCCGAAGCCCACACACACACACACACACACACACTCAACAGCAAACTAACGAGATAGTCATCCGCCTGAACTCGAAGATAATAGTCTCAAAACACAAAATTGTTTCAAATCCGAACTTGCATGCGGCTATGGCCTCTCTCACCCTCTCTCACTTTCTGAGTGCACTCGACCCCCAACCCTATCAGCTATGGTGGTCATCTGCTTCTGCGCTAGTTCTAGCTATGGTGCCTCACCGCCGGCTACTCCGACAACTGCCCGGCCAGTCTCTCCGAACCGTTGTACAATCGTACAGCAGCATTTCCACAACATGCGAATTGACAAGTGAGTTGCTGGATGTGCTTTAGCTCAAGTATGGGCTGTGAATTGAGATCTTTGCCGTCTCCAGACTGATACCGACTTCTCAAGTCCTGTCGGCGGGTTTCGTTGCCAGTTCGGAACTCACCGGGTTTTGCCAGGCTGCCGCTGCTAAATTTAGACTGAGAATGTGGACTTTTCTTGCCGGGTACGGGGCCTACCTGACTTCTACCACTTAAAGACTTCCTACGACCTACTGGTGCTCGCTTCGGCGAGTTTCCTCCGCTGGACCTGCTGAGTAGGTTACTGTACATGGGACTGGGACCGGGACTCGATGTGAAATCATCTTGGATGACGGTGCTGCAGAATATATGCTGCATCCGACTGAAGACCGACTGCAGCCCAATGACACAGGTAACTTATGAGGAAGAGGGCTAAGTGGTGAAGCTGAGCAGAGGGCTAGCCACTTGCCACCCCTTTCTCGAACGAGTCTCCCCTTGCTGATTTTCGGTTACGACCACTGGCACCCTCAGTTCTGTCTACTGACTGCCGTTCCTATTTTTCTGCTTCCTCTGCTGCATCACGGTCGTCGTCATTGATACATTCATGGTCAGATGGGCCATCGCAAGCACCTCTCTGGTGCAGATGTTCCCCATCTCACAGCTGTCCTCCGGACAGCGACCTTGTATGTACATGCGCAGCATGCGCGTTGCACCCCTGGTGGGAGTCAGAGATCTGCTCCGTCCCCATTCTCACAATGTCACGCTGTTGTTGTTCACAGTACACGGGAGCCACAAACAGCACATATCGAGTCCAGTGCCTACACTGCGTTGATGACTTTTACAGTGCTGCGGGCCTGTGCGTGCAGCCGACACATGGTGCAGGAACCTGTGCAGCATTCGCACAACTAACGGCCACCCTGAGTACAGTTACGGCTGATCAGCCTGTGTGCTCCCTGCATCTGAAGTCCCCACTTCTACTCTACTTCTGACTGACTCCTCCACCCCCCCCACCCACCAAATGGCGATGATGTGCCATCTGATAATTTGATGGAAACCCCGGCTGTTGGGGATCTGGCCCCCCTGGAACACTTCCTCATCTGAAGTTATTAGGGTCAGAAGTGCTGGCAGAGACTGCTGAGACTGGAATGAGCCTTCTCCTGTCGAGCAATCTGTGTAGAGTCTGCAGACAAATGACCTCATATATGCTAAAGCAAGACCACTATGCGAACTGCACTGTTTATGTGTCTCTGCACTTACGATTGCAACCCCTACACTGTGTCTGACTTTGCAGACATCATCCGCTGGATAGAAGTGGAGCACTGTTCTATGTGCTCGGAGATTAGTCTACTGTAGCTGGGGTGACCATGGTCAATTAGAACTTCACAGCCTGCCCCATGGAATTGTATGCATGACATGGACCGGACTATCGCTGCTGCGTATATCCTGCATTGCCTGGGTCACTTCAGTGCTCTCACCTTTGCCGCTATTTCATGGTATGCTCTTGGTTAATGGCAGAATATAACAATGAAACCGCCATTTCATCCGAATGTTGCATTTGTAAGAAACATCACAATCATGTGGATGGAAAAGGATTTGTTCTGGCGACAACAGTCTATAACATACTTGCAAGCAGACGGACCGGACGAGCGTCCGGTCCGGTCCGCTTTGCCGCATGCGGCACCCTCCCCCCGGACCAGACGGACCCGGACCGGACCAGACGGGGGCGATTTTTTTTTTTTTTTGGGGGGGGGGGGGGGGGCGTAACTGGTCGTCGCACATTCGTGCGCCGCATGGGTCTGGCCCGGCGGTCTGCCGCACGTGCGGAACCGCCCGGACGGCGTCCGCTTGCAAGTATGGTCTATAACACATACGTGCACAAGTTGTTTAGTGGGAAATCAAACGGCACAACAGCAGAGTGGACATTGGTGATGTACAAGCAATAAAGCGATAGCAAGCGGAACAATGGTTGATGTGGTATCTCAGAGTACACACGCCTCTCACTGAAGACAGTGAGCTTTACCAGGCACATGCAGCAAGGGTGGGAAAATACGAACTCATCTCAAGTGTAACATTGAACTGCCTACTATAAGTGGGTTATCCAAGGCGGAAAGTCACCCAAAAGTGAAGAGCCCTTGAAGAAGCTTCCCCCTCTTTCCCCCCCCCCCAAAAAAAAAAAAAAAAGATGAATTTATGAACGGGGAAGGGCCCTTGAAGAAGCTTCCCCCACT